GGACTACGTCTATAGACCAGCTATCAGTTCCTGCGCCCATGTGCTAGAGACGTTCCAGCCGTACATCGGAGCCTCTTTTGTACGACGCAGATTAAATTTTCCCCCTGGGCTGCGCGCCAAGCTTTGCTGAAACGCCTAGTAGAAGTACGTGGCGTTTGCGTTTTTCGTTTTGGAGGGTGCGGCCAGCCATGATTTTGATCCGGAAGCTTGGCGCGCAGGGGGAAATTCCGCCCCTGGGCGCCAAGCTTTGCTGAAACGCCTACCGGTAGCATAGCTTGGGGGGAAATTCCCCCCCTGGGCGCCAAGCTTGGCGCGCAGGGGGAAATTCCCCCCCTGGGCCTCAAGCCGTCGAATTTTCTCGCACAGAGAGAGAGAGAGAGAGAGAGAGAGAGAGAGAGAGAGAGAGAGAGAGAGCCGCTCGTTGTTCTTTGGTTGCCTGGGGCCATGTACTGGTGGTTCGAGGCCCCAATGGGATTCAATTTGTGGCTGTTGTAGGGGGGTTAATGGTCTAGTTTATAAGGGGGGGTAATTGTAGAGAGGGGGTTCAGATCGGGCTGACACTCCAGATGTATAGCTGGTTCAATACTGGACCAAGTTCCTCAACCTGGTTTTGAAACGAGTAGGGGATCAGAAATGTGCAGGGGGCTTGAAATTTGTAGGGGTCTAGAAATCTGTAGAGGGGTTGAGAATTTCGAATTGTAGGGGGGTAGATTTGTACTATGTCAGATTTCTTGACAACAAGGAACCCTTGCACTTTTTTCTTTTTCTTTTCGAAGCACCTCAGTGCCTGGTGATTTTTTTATTAATTCTTTTTTAACAAGAAAAAGGGATTTGTTATATCATTAGTGGCTGGGAAATCGGCCCAGTGAGCAGTCCCATGTAAATGCTCAGTGACCCTAGCAATTAATTTTTCTTTTCAATTATGCAACACCCCCCCCCCAACCCCCCCCACCCCCCCACAACTCTCTTTCTGCTTAATCATGTTCAATAACATTCCCTCCTTTTTCCCTTTTTTTTTTTCTTTTCTTTTCGGGAATAGCAGTCCATTTTTATTTTATTTTATTTTTTTTCAGTCCATTTTCATGACATTGCGGACGCCACAACACAGATCACCTCCTTGTACAAATAAAACATAATTTTCATTAATTTTTTAAACTGTTTGAAATGCTCATTGAGTTTGTCTATTTCCAATTTCCCACCTCACATCCTGCTTAAACCACCAGTACTTGGCCCAGCTATGGGCCGCAGAAAAGAATAGAGTAGAAACGTTTCTAGTCGGATGAATTTGTGCCCCACCCACGTTTAGTGGCGCGCCATGAACATTTCGGTAGATATATATGTATATATAGTCAAACAGAGCTGCCCGGTAGACCATAGGCAGAGAGGGACAAGAGGGAAAAGAGGACAACAATAGAGGGGCTGTGACAAACTGTTTCCTCGGAGTTTCACCAACTGACTCGAGGCTGAACCCTCAAAAACAGTCTGCAGAATCCCCCTTTTTTTTTCTTTTTTTTTTTCTTTTTTTTTTTTTTAGCATGCTGGAAACTGGGTCCAGCGTCCCTTCGCTAACTATCCTGTACTTTCCAAGCCAAGACCCAGGGCTGGGACCCATCAGGGCTACTGGGGGGCACCAGTGGTCCCTGTTTGTTCCCCGGCCCACCTTCCTGGTCACACTTTCCTTTGAGAATGTCTGAAGGAGTGTCTAAGATCTGAATATCTGATAGGAAAACTGAAAAGTTCTGAGGGATCTGAGAAAGGTCTGAGAATCGTCCTCTCTGGGTCACATTGAGATAGAGTGGGCTGAGTGAAATGAAGTGACCAGATATAGGCTGGTCTGATATAGGTTCCGGCTCGAATTAAACTGCGGCTGTAAGGTTATTATACAGCTAATCAGATCCCCCACTGAATTCATCAACTCCAAATGTCTCTAGGCCCCCAGATATTCCTCCAGGGCCCTAACTGACTGATTACACTGTAAGTGATAATCCACCTTAACCCCGACTGTGGTAAAAGCACCAAAGACTGCCCGACAACTGATACCTTGAGATGGGCACCAACAACTGCCCTCAAGGTACCTGTGACGAAAATCAAAGCAGACTATCACTCACGCACACCTGATGAGTATCTGTGCAAGTGTGCCGCTTCACTTGGCGCTGAACCACGTACTATATTGTCTATCTATACTTTTTTGCTATGCATGGTTTGTTATGATTTGTGGAGGGAATGAGAGAGAGAATTTCGGGTGCTTTAACAACACATGTGACTTCAACTTGGTGAAAGTCTGAAGAAACAATCTGGCAGAGTCATGCTTTTTTGTGGACTTGTGTAGAACGGATATGACAACACAGATACACACACACACACACACACACACACACACACACACTCAAGGTTTTTTTTTTTTTTTTTTAACACTCCCACCAGTGCTGGTGGTGCTGATGAGAGCAGACACCGCTAGCACCTGGGGAGAGGCTCCATCTATTGGTGGGGAGCAACACCTGCGGGAAAACGGGTCCAGCGTCCCTTATGCAGAACGATTCACAAAAATACAAGAACATCAGGAAAAATCAGAAACTGGAAAACGCCTGCCAGCATTGATTACTCTGGGTTCCAGAGGATTGACTGAGCAGGTTGTGGAAGGGCGCTGCCGCCACTCCAGCTGTACCCGTCCACCCTTTCTGACTCTCTTTTTTGTGATAAGCATCTAGCAAAAGAAGGCAATCGCCCACAGCTGGAAACTGTACCCTGGCCTGGAGACACCATGGGGCCGCTGGGGGGCACCAGCGGGACACACACCCACACCCCTGTGTCGTGCTAGAGTAGTCTGTTTCAGCGGTGAATATTTAGAATTCTGCAAAGCTTGTCATACACCTCTCCCCGGCCCTTTGCATGTCATACTCTATCCTGCCCTTCACATATTTCTTTCCTGTCCTTTGCCTCCACCTCCCCTGCCCCATACTCCTATAGAACTCCGCCTTCTATCCCTTGCCCTCCACCCTCCCCTCCACTCCCATTGTGCTACTAGCAAATACATACGAATGCGCATTGTTAAGAGAACAGACGATATGAAGATCAGACATGAAATGAACGGAAGAATGAAGATGAAGAACGGACACAAAGACTGTATAGGCTGAAGATCTGAAGTGAAATTAACAGTAGTATGAAGCTCTGAAGAGAAATGCACAGGAGCGTACCTTCCCTTTTACTCTGCCTCCTGAAATAACGTGCAAGTGGGCCGTGAAGGCACATGGGGATGTGAGGAGCTGCCGCTCAACCACAATCAACTTGGGCAGCCTTGTGCGTAAGAGGCACAGTAAAAAGGGAGCTGCAAGAACAATGAAAGGGGTACCCCAAGGACAACCAAAAAACTGTCTAATTATAAAATTGCTTTGATACGTTGGAAATCTCAAATGTTCTTGTTGTCTGCAATATGACAAAGACTGCTTTGATTCTGAATCTATTCATCTGCCAGGGTGGAATTGGGGCTGTTGTGGGGAAAATCTATAACAGACACACACACACACACCTGTCTCTTATACACATCTAGATGTGTATAAGAGACAGGTTGGGCACAGCGCTCAAGGCAAAACTCCAATGTTCAACACAAAAAGAAAAAAGAAAAAAAAAGAAAAAAAAAACGTCAATGTTCAACAGCTCCAAATTGAAGGTACTATGAACTTTGCACACTTTTCTCGTCTTTTCCCATTAAGAAAAAAGTAATTTCATGTTTCTGATTATATACATATAATATATATATATATATATAATCTGAATTTTGTTTTTTAATTGTATTCTGATTTCTTCTGAATTTTCTTGGAGTTCTTTTTTCTGTTTGTTTGTTTTTTGTCAAGCTTGCCCTGGAGATAGTCGGGTACTATAAACTTCCAATTTCCAAAGACTTTTCTCATAACTTCGTTTTTTTCCCAAAAAACTTTATGGAATGTTTTTTTATTTTTTTTTTGCTGATTTTTGTCTTTTGTTTTTTTTTTCCTTTTCGAAATTTTTGCTTTCTGAATTTTCCTGAATTTTCTTGTTGTTTTCTTTTTATTTTCTTTGTTGTTCCTGGAAACACCGGACCTTGTGCCCAATGCTTAGGGGCAGCGGCCATGGTGGCATTTTGCTATGGTTGATGGTTAAAGCATCGCTGCTTTCTATTGACAATATATAAACGTTTATCTATAATCTAGATATATAGTCAATCATAGCTGCTCGGTAAACTGTACGCATATATATTTATATATACGATATATATATATATATATATCACAAACAGAACTGCCCCGTAAACCGTAGGCAGAGAGAGAAAAGAGGACAACAAACGAGGGGCTGTGACATATATATATATCTATATCTATATCTATATATATATATATATATATATATATATATATATATATCCTGATGAGTCTGTGAAGCTCCGACGAAACACTTTGTCACAGCCCCTCGTTTGTTGTCCTCTTCTCTCTCTCTGCCTACGGTTTACCGGGCAGTTCTGTTTGTGACGATATATATATATACATATATATATATATATATATATATATATATATATATCGTATGTATGTATATATATATAGCCGCCTGTGCCTTCACCTTTCTTCCTCCTACACCACACTCTAGAGTGGCTACACTGGACCCAGTGCCCATGGATCATATAAAAAATCAAAAAATCATCACCACCAAAAAAAAAAAAAAAAACATTCATAAACAAATATGTTGTTTTCTTTTTCCTACTAGCCTATCCAATCTAATGAATATTAAATACATAAAATAAAATAAAAAAAATTGCTCATTAATGTCATTGTTGTCATCTTTTGCTTCTCTTGTGCATCTGGCATGGCTCGTTTTTTTTCTTTTCTTTTTCCGTTTATTTTGTACATCTTACAGGGGAATGCAATACCTACATGAAAATCATATCGTTCATCGAGATCTCAAGTCAACAAATCTTTTGATGGACGTTGATTTCACAATCAAAATCGCCGACTTTGGACTTGCGAGGACGGAAGCAAAAAATCCCCTAGAAATGACAGCGGAGACTGGAACGATAAGATGGATGGCGCCTGAGGTAAGGAAAAAAACGTTTTTGGCCTTGAATACGATATATTTGCCATCAATCAAATTAATTGAAATTGTTGTCCAGATTTATTTTGTAACTCACTGGACCAGGTGCATGATATTTTTTATTTTATGTGTAAAAAAAAAAGACCATCATATGCTACAAATTTTGCAACTGGATCCAACGAGGTCAGAAAAATGATATTTTTATGCTCAAGTAGAAGTCTTTGATATTCCTTAAATCTGTTAAATAATAAACAATAAATAAATTAAATAAGAAAATTTGATCTGACCCTGCGCATTGGGCCGCGCAGGTGACCTAGGCTGGGCAAGGGCCACGAAGGTTCCTGCAAAAGAAGAAAAGAACCAAAAAGAACCTATGTTGTGCAGAAAAATAGAATGAATAGGGACCGCTTCCGGGTTTTAATTGAAAGTTTTTGTTCTATTAAGAAAAGAAAAAAAAAAACAAATTTTGCTGAATTGAAAATAATAGCAAATCAATTCAAGTTTTCCTTTTTGTTTTTATATTTCATAAATTCATTTTCTTTTTTGGCTCAGCTGGGCACATGGGCCCCGGGCTCCTCTGTTATCCTAGGTCTGATCAGGTTAAAGAATCATTTTTATGATAGAATCAAAATTTCGGCGTAGAAATCTTAGAGAAATCATTTTTCTCTTTTGTTTCCCCTCTTCTTTATCCAAGATTGTAGTTTTGTCACTTTTGTGTAATTTTTCACATCCAACCAGCCGTTTTATTTTCCGCTTTGCCGTTTCTTTTTCCGAACTAGTAGAACTGAAGTCACTATACTGTACATGGACCATGCCGCATGTGATGAACTTCAAGTTAGTGATATCATGTTTTGCATGGTCAAACTCTTTCACCTACTATTTCAAAAAAGGGGGCGACTTTCTCCCCCCCCACCGCCCCCCCCTTCTCCCCCCTCTTCTTCCCCCCGCCCAATACAATGTATGCAATGCACAGTCATTATTGTTCAATTTGTTGTTTTTTTTTTGGGGGGGGGGGGAAAGGGGGGGGGGAGGTCAACTTGCTGTATCTAAAGCCTAATTACAGATAAAATGATAGTGTGTACTATTCCGCTTGCTATTAATAAGCTAGAAATCGCATTTACTATTCCGCTTGCTATTAGTAAGCTAGAAATCGCATTTAGTGAATTTTCTCATGTTTTGTGAGCCTTATCGTGCACATGAATCCCTTTCACAACTGACTGTTTTCGTTTATGACTTGCAAATGATTGAGTTTTTTTCCTTTTGACTTGAAGATGATGAGTTTTCTTTCTTTTGACTTGCAGATCGACTGACTTTTGTGTTTTTGGTTTTTCGGTTTTTCGTTGTGCAGATGATTGACCATCGGCCATACACTCATAAAGTTGACGTCTATAGCTTTGGAATTGTTCTTTGGGAGCTGTGCACGGCGGAGTGGCCCTTTGAGGGGCTCTCATTTGTACAACTCGTCCATGCTATAGTGCTAGAAGTAAGTCAAAGTCAAACCTTTCAGAGTCAAGAAAACAGTCAAAGTCAAACCTTTCCGAGTCAAGAAGTCAAAGTCAAACCTTTCAGAGTCAAGAAAACAGTCAAAGTCAAACCTTTCAGAGTCAAGAAAACAGTCAAAGTCAAACCTTTCATAGTCAAGAAAACAGTCAAAGTCAAACCTTTCAGAGTCAAGAANCACACACACACACACACACACACACACACACACACACACACACACACACACACACACACACACACACACAAACACACTGAAACACACACACAATCACACACCCAATTTTCACCACACCAGCCCCTATTCCACCCAGATGAGTAGATCCAAAATCGAACCAGCTTTAATCCTACTGCAGGCATGGAAAACACTTGCTGAGACAATCCAGTGCGTCAGTGCATGTGTGATCACCATGTGTGTGTATACACACATATGTCACATATAGATCATCTTCAGCACAGAGACTATGCTCCGGAGCATCGCAACATTTCATCGAATAACTGGCAGCAAAGTGAGATAAATCAAGCCCATGGTCAGTTCTTGATTACAAAGAAACAGCAAGTAATCACAGACCTTTTACTCAAGGGCGCGGTACCTTCAGAACCATTCTTTATCCTCTGTACTCATCCATGAAAGCCAGGTATGCATACAAAACAAGAAAAGTGTAGCGACGGCATGGACAAGCGAAGTAAGGACGAGAAAAGAAAGGGAAAGACAAGCCACCCGGAAAACGATCATAACAGAACGAACAAGGAAGGAGCGGGAGAGAAGGGAGTGTGAGGAAAGATGAGAACAGAGCAGAGGGAGAACAGGAGGAGGAAGGCGAAAAGGAAGAAAAGTAAGTAGAAGTGAAGCAGCGAGGAGAAAACAAAAGCGCAGACTCATAAATCCCTCAGAAGGGATGAATTCAAAAGCAAATACAAACTCAAGGATTACTTGCAATTCCTGGTCGGCCATACCCCGTAAGTTCTGTAACCTTTTCTCTTCCAAATGAGCTCGTTCAGATCCCAAATAAATGAAGAAGCTATTTGAGCGCAAATAAAATCCATTCATGAGGCTCAGCACAATTTGAGGGCAGAAGTAGTAGTAGTAGTAGTAGTAGTAGTAGTAGTAGTAGTAGTAGTAGGCTACTGCTACTGCTACTGCTACTGCTATTGCTACTGCTACTGCTACTGCTACTACCACTGCTGCTACCACTGCTACTACCACGGGCCACTACCACTGGGCACTACCACTACCGTGGTAGCGGCCAGTGGTAGTGGTAGTGGCCAGTGGTAGTAGCAGTAGCAGTAGCAGTAGCAGTAGCAGTAGCAGTAGCAGTAGCAGTAGTAGTAATAGTAGTAGTAGTAGTAGTAGTAGTAGTACTTATTTGAGATTCAGCAGCGACCATAAATGGCCCGCCTGGTGTTCTTTATGAATCAGCAGCAACCATGAATACCCCGCCTGGTGAAGAAAGGTAAGGGTACTGCCGACGAGTCAGGAGAAGGGAGAAGACAGGAGCAAAGAAGAAGGAACAAAGCAAAGAACGGAAAAACGGAAGGATGCAATCAGAGAGTACATGCGGAGGCGAGGAAGGAAAAAGGAAAAAGGGAAAAAGAAAAAAAGGCAAAAGGAAAAAATGTGCGCCTACTGCAGTATGTCCGCACTTATTTATCACTTGAAAAAAATATACAGCCCGTCCAGGGGAAGATACCTGGATGATGGTGTCTGTGTGGATGCCGGCGACTGCAGAGGGTCTTGGATTCTGTGGATGCTGCTGCCTGCGGAGGATCTCGTGCACGTCACGTGTTGACGAGCACTGCTGGGGTGGGCTGAATGTCACGACGAGTATGGCATCACCTATGAACGCAAGGTCGCAGTTGGAGAGGTAACGGCATCCGGCTGTTATAGCCGAGGGCACCAGACCGGGTTTGATTCCGGCTGGCTGCGGAGGGGTCAGGACTACATCGACGAACTTACGGATATCCACGACACAGCTGCTACACAGCTATAGCATCCACTTACGTCCTTCTTCATAACTCAGAAACCAGGCCGGCGATCTGCAAATGGCTGCCAGTAACTTTTTTGGGGTAACTTCAGAAGAGTCACAAAAACGAGTTATAATTGCAGTATATGGGGCAAGATACAGTTTGCAATTGCACTTGAGGCACCCTCCCCTGGCCAGAAAGCTGGGTTGTATACATTGCCCCAACTGCAATTCGAAACTGTATCTTGGCCCATACTGCCAAAATTATGACTCATTTTTGTGAAACCAGGGCGGTGATCTGCAAATAGCCGCCAGTGACTTTTTTGGGGTAACTTCAGTAGAGTGTTACATGCTGCGCCTGCAACAGGCTGCACAGGCCATTTCCAGGCCCGTGACGTTTTCAGGCCAAAAGCCTGAAAACAAGGGCCTACAGGCCCTGTGTCGTTTCAGCCTGAAAGCCTGAAAACAAGGGCCTACAGGCCCTGTGTCGTTTCAGGCTAAATCAGGGCCTTTCCTGCCCTGAGTGTTTTCAGCCTGAAACTGAGGGCCATTTCCGGGCCCTCATCAGTTCGACCAGCCCTGAAACTCAGGCAACAAACCAGGGTTTTAGCACAGGTCATTTCGGGCCTGTTTTCAAGACAACCCCTGGTTGAGCTGCAACGCCAGGGTCTGGCACGTTTCGGCATTGGCAAGAGCAGCCTCCTGGATGGGCCAGCACTATATATAGGACTGGGCCGCCCTGCAGGCAGGCAGGTAGTTCCTAGGTACTTCCCAGGCACTTCATGTGCAGTTCAGGAGGCAGGAGGTAGTCTTCAGGATTCGGCAGCAGCACTCTGGAGGAGCGCGGCAATAGTAATGGTACCGTTAGCAGTAGTCTTCAGCTCTGGGCGCTAGTAGCGTTAGCTGTAGTCTTCAGCGCTGGGCGCCATAGCAGCTAGAGTAGTACTATAGAGCGAGAGATTGGGTGGAGGCCAGAGGGACTTACCTGCAGCACCATCGCTCCAGCTTCGTCTTCGAGGTACCTGCAGCACAGCGCCACCTTCACAGGTTAGTACCTGGCACATGAGAGAGAGAGAGTTTTTCTTCTTCCTCTTCTCAGTCCATCATCTCCTTCTCACCCTCTCGCTATCTGACTTCACTGCATCAGCAGACTACGAGAGAGAGAGCGAGAGAGAGAGTCTCAGAGAGAGAGAGAGAGAGAGAGAGAGAGAGAGAGAGAGAGAGAGAGAGAGAGAGAGAGAGAGAGAGAGAGAGAGAGAGNAGAGAGAGAGAGAGAGAGAGAGAGAGAGAGAGAGAGAGAGAGAGAGAGAGAGAGAGAGAGCTTGGTGACATTTGGATCCAGACTCGACATTGGACTTCAGACATTTTGAAGAGGGATTATTTGGGACTTGTAACGAGACCTGGTGTTGACGACTTTCCCATCTCCTCCTTCCTCTTCTTCGTCTGATCCCCTCCTCTTCGTCTGTGTATGTCTGGACCTGGCGCCTCCTTCCTGTGTATAGCGCCAGGCCCCTTCACACCTTGTGATGAGCATGATGTATGTTTGGTCTGCATTGCAACATTGATTGGGCTAGTCATTGGTATTCTAGCATTCTGCTGCGCTGTCTTGCGCTACGTGGCAGAGGTCAGTCCTGGTCAGGTCAGGACTTGTATCTAAAGTCTTCCCTGCGCTATAAAGCACCATTTTGTATGTATCGGAATGCACATTGCTTGTTGAGATTCCACTTGCACTGCATTGTCCATTCGATCCTTTTTATCACATTGTGGATCCTCGGTTATTATGAACATCGCCCAACTGGGCATGTAACAACAGTCACAAAAAGGAGGAGTTGTAATTGCACTATATGGGGAAAGATACAGTTTGCAATTGCACTTAGGGCACCCTATCTGGCCAGAAAGCTGGGTTGTATACATTGCCTGAAATGCAATTCGAAACTGTATCTTGGCCCATAGTGCAATTATAACTCGTTTCTGTGACTCCCATGGCCAAGTTTTTTTCTGATACACATGCCAACGAGAGGAGCCATGGAATCGAGAACGCTGTGTTCTAAACTGGTCCCTTATTGATCCTAGCCTTCCATTGAACCTTCCTGCTAATATAATAAGCAATGATAGATGGGCGTTCCGTCATCTGCATGAAGAGCCAAAAGAATCTCGTGTATATTACAGTAGCCGATTCTCATCTCATCGACGCGATCTTTACTACATAGTGAGAGAGGCTCTCCACTGCAAGTTCTGGCACCCAGATAATTAGAGTTAGGGGTAACTTAAGTAGAGTCACAAAAAGGAGGAGGAGTTACAATTGCAGTATATGGGGCAAGATACAGTTTGCAATTGCACTTCGGGCACCCTACCTGGCCAGAAAACTGTGTTGTATACATTGCTCGGACTGCAATTCGAAACTGTATCTTGGCCCACAGTGTAATTGTAACTCATTTTTGTGACTCCTGCGTAGTTTCCCCTTAGAGTTAAGCTGTGGAATTTATTTATTTATTTATTTATTTATTTATTAAATTATGTATTTATTTATTTATTAAATTATGTATTTATTTATTTATTTTAAAGTGTGCTGTTTAAAGGTATGGGCAACATGGCAGGTTGTGTCCAATGTCAGAGAACAGTCTGGGAGGTTTCAGGCTCAGGCAAATGGCCAAAACAGTCAATATAACCTCCATGTCGGAGCCCGCAACCCGATCAGAAATACAAGTAGTTTTTGATCAGGCTCACCGCAGAGCAGAGCCTTCCCCAAACCGTGAGCATTCCACATCAAGGGAGAGAGATACTGCTTTTATGCAATCAGAAAGGGAAAAAAAAAAAAAAAAAAGAGGCCGGCGCGGTTTTCAATTACTGCAAGTGCCGACTGCCAAAATAATTCTCATTCTAATCAAATTGGAATATGCAATTTCACTGACACTTGTACAGACAGAAGGTCATCCTTACTGACTGACCGTTTTCTGACTACCAACAATGATTGCCAACTGACAGGACTGACCGACAGACCGACAGTACCGAAAAGAACAGACACCAATTTCGGTTGACGCACGCAGAACCAGGTAGGCAATTAAATCAGATCAGGGTCGTCGAGATGCAATTCCATTTTTTTCTGTTTCTGGATTAGAACAGAACATTCAGAGAGAGGCCAGAAACAGCAACACGATGACTGGCAAACTCTGACAGACACAGACAGCATCTGACGTCGGACTGGGAAATGCATGGAATGGACCCACCCACTTGAACGGAATTTGATTGAAGATATCTGGCCGCTCAACCATTGACCCCCTTTTTTTTTTTTTTTTTTTTTTTTA